GCAACACTGCATAAGATATATATATATATATATATATATATATATATATATATATATATATATATATATATATATATATATGTATGACGCATTTCCTTCCCAGAAGCAACTTCTTTAAACTAATAATAGTTTTATTGATGGAATAGATCCTATATATATATATATATATATATATATAAACATTCTGGGGAGGTAGGAGAAGAAATAAAACAAACCCCAGCTACATCGAGAAGACACAGAGACGTTCAATTTAAGTCAAAATTTTAACGTCCGATGTATCTCGATGTTTAAATTAACCTCTCTTATTCAGTTTTCTTTTTTTTTATCCAATTTATTCTTAACTTTATTGATTTTTAATTATCCGGCATTTTATCAGTGGTGTGAAGAAAGGAATGTTTTGGATGATTCTGGCCTTAAATTACCGTAGAGAAAATCTGTAATTAGTAAACTTTCAATCCATTTTCGCCTTAATAAATTCCTTTCACTTTTAATTATAAGTACATTTCTAAGTCGAACTCGGTATCATATACAACCATAGACCAGTAGTTAACAAACGTACAGGCCTTATTTACATTATTCGGACTATTGTCCTCATCTTTGTCGCCATATTTATCACAACGTTTCGGCCGTTGTACGCTCCGGCCTTCTTCAGGTGGATGGAATTTCGAACTGAACCCTTTATTTCGCTCACTGGGGTAGACTGTTCTAGTTCCACGTGCCATGTTTGATGGAAGTCAGTTATCAGTTATCTCCTGCTAATTTCCCTCTGAAAGTTCTCCACTGCCTTAACCGGGTATTGAACTCACACTCTTTGGGTCCTGTCACTGGATCTAACCAACGCCTTTATCCACTGTGCGTTGTGATAAATATGGCGACAAAGATGAGGACAATAGTCCGAATAACGTAAATAATGTACATAGTACCTCATCTCAGAAATATAGACAGAAACGTACAGGCCATTTACGATTTGCTCTGCTCCGTTCATACGCCCAGCCTTGTGTCGCACTAAACATTAGTAAATATCTACATATTTACCCTTGGTGAACGTTTTGAAAGAAGTGACACGAGAAAAGAACACGAAGCTAAAACGTCGAATTATGGGATTAAAGTGACAAGAAATCATACGAGCGTACACGAAGTGGCTTACCGTAGAGCGACAGCAAGGAAAGGTTGCCTTGTTTTCAATTTGCTCGTGTAGCAAGTTTATGTTTCTTGACTGGATGCATAAAATCTAAAAAGGGAACGCCCATGAATGAGAAAGAAAAGTTGTATCAAAGATGAAACGAACTCAATGGGAAACTCTTACACGACACCAAAGAGAAACTTACACTACATAAAAACATGCAAGGACTTGAAATATTAAAATCTAAGGTAATATCAGCTCCGGACATGATGAACAGAAACAAAGCAACTGGACAAAATGGAGTTATAATAGAGATGCTGCTAGAATTAGACGATTTGGAGATCGATAAATTTTCTGAAGTAATAAAATGAAATCTATGAAGGTGGTGAAATACTAGAAACAAATTGTCTTCATGTAAAGAGAAACCATGTTGTCTAATAATGCCAAAAATAAAAAGGAGTGTAAGACATGGAAGCGCCAAAATGATGCAAATTTAATTATTTAGAGTAGTGTCGTAACAGACGACGAGTATTGCTATCCAAAGATTCAAAGGTGTGCTACAATAGCAAAAATGCCTTCTAGAAACTAAACAAAGTCTTAAGAAATGGGAAAATTTCTTTACATATGAAAATGAGGCTTGATGTCTTTCTACAGAAGCATCTTGAGAATACCGTAGACGGAACATGTGAGCCACAAGGAAGTTTTAAGAAAAATAGGAATTAAAAGGGCATACTTACAATCAGGAAAAAATGATTGAACTTTTAGGGGATTCATAATGAAGGAGGAGGGCTCAGTGACTTTGACACTCACAGGACATACTGAAAGCAAAGGGAATAAAGGGAAACAACTCGTAACCTTCGTGTAAATAGAGAGCAGAGTGGAGACTAGGTGAGGTGGTAACGTTGCATAGAAATACAAGAGACAAGAAGCTGTGCAGAGGTAGGATCACTCATCTCCTGAAGGGTCATGACGCATAATCAGTGAGTTCAATCCTCATTGGGTGTCATCCCTTGGCTTTGTGCTGAAGTAAGCTAAAGTTATTAAACAACTACACTTTGCCGATTCCAGTAAAAATAGACAGACATGCCAATTCCTCGTATTATAAATCAGGTTTATATTTGAATTGGGATAAGTTACACTGAAGCTGAAAATAATGTAAATGAAGAAAAAGGACAGTGGAAAAGGGTGCACAAAACTTGGGGCCGCCTTGTATGCACACAACGCGAGTGAGAGCATACATCATCCACAGTCCCGAATGTACATCTATCTTACATATTCATAAGTCTACCATTCGTCCTTGTTTTGAATATTGCTGCCACTGGTGCTCCTGTTATATATTTAGAGATTCTTGATAAAATCCAAAGCAAAGAAAAATCTGCAATATTATCGGTCCTGACTTGGCATCTCGGCTTCAGTTCCTTTTACACCGCCGTAACATAGATTCCCCGTGTCTTTTCTATAAATAATTTCATGGTAATTGTTCTGATGGACTTTCCTCTATGGTAGCTAGACTTTATGAATTTAAGCGTACCACTAGATTGGCAGAAAGATATCATCATTTACATTAGAGATGGCTAGATGTAACCGTAAGTTCTATGCTAACAGTTTCTTCTGTCACACTTCTTGCATGTAGAACTCTCTTTTGGCTTCTTGCTTCTCTGTCAACTTTGATCTTAAAAAATTTAAATGCAGTGTCAATCGTTATCTTCTGTCTTTAATTAGAGTGATAAGTCGTTTCGAGTTAAGTCATTTTCGTGGATACGTCGGTTTTTCTTAAATGTTATATGGAAAAATGAGATTCGCCTTAGGTCATTTTACACGAGTTTACGCCGGCTGTTAAAAATATTAGAAACATCAAAACACTAAAATAACAATAAACACATATAAAATCATATTCAAATAAATTTATATATATATATTTATATATATATATATATATATATATATATATATAAATCATAAAAATAGCATAATAAAGTATGTTCAGCAGATGTTCTTGTTTCAAATTTCTGCCGACAGGCGGCACTCGTGCATTGTTTTCCGCTCCAACGCCAATCTTGAATTCAGACTTGTTTTCATCTGTGCTCTGCCGTTGACGTTCTTTCAGTTGTGATTTAGAATACTTGACTCCGAAGAAAAAGGGCACGTGGCCGAGTGGTTAGAACGTTCACGTTCTGACAATGAGACCAGGGTTCGAATCTCACCATAGCCGATTTGTTAGAGTGGAGGGGTCGATCCCAGCGGACACCTTTGGAAAGTGCCTGAAAACCATACCACGGATTGGGTACAACTGGGTAGACGGAACCCTTCGGATCCGTCGATAGCTGTGCTAGCACGAAGTCAGAAGTCATCGTGACCGAGGCTTTGTGCAGGCTGGCCTTCTTCAAATTGTTGATCACGCTAGATAACACGCTCTTTCTTTTTTGTAACTAAGGTCTGTTCCGCATAGTTGCAGTATAAACCACAGGTGGGCTCTGTAGGTGTTGAATAAACACAAATGTGCCTGAGCAAGCGTCTGTAATAGGGATTAGCTAGCCGCCCTAGTAGACAGGTATCTTCGAATACGAGTGGCTAGCTGTACTATACAATCGCTGGAAGATAATGTGGATTTTAATTATTTTATTTTTATTTTTTATTTGGGATACTGTAAGTACATATAAGTACTGTAATATGCAATGGGAAGTGCTTATTTACGGTTTATAGTGTGGTTATTTTGACTTAAGATGTTTTTCGACCTAAGTCCTGACCTCTGGAACCAATTAAGGACGTAGGGTGAGGTATATCTGTATTGTTCCTTTATTGTCCTCTCTCCTTAATAGTATTTTTGTTATATTATTATACACTCAGTAACCCCCTGTGTTATTATTGTCTTGCCTGGGGTGAAATGATTAAAAAAATACATAAACCGAATGTTGCTCTCTGGCTAAAATCTGACGCCATGAATTAAAAAAAATTCCAATGAAGTCCAGGGACTGACTGTCAGCGTATTTGATGATAACATTTGCAACAATCAGACAACAACAGGGATTTCATGATAAGAATGGCACACTAGCAATAAATTTAAAAACAGATTTTTATTGTGGGAATAAAAAAAACAAAAAAAACCCTTTAGCAATTCGTTGGTTTTAAATAATCAACGGTTCTTCTTCTATATGCTGTCTCCCTTGAAGGCGTTGGCGATCATGGCTCTTCACAATTTCCTGTCATTTGTAGCTCTAAATAAATTTTGTCCTTTTATCTCTCCTAAACCTTGTTTCACCATCCATTTACACAAGCTCATTATGTAGATTATTCGTTTTTTTCCTCTCTCCCGTTTGTCTTCAACCTTTCCTGTGAGCATCCGATTTTCCAAGCCCTCTTTCCTCATTAAGTACCCTAAAAATTTCGACTGTCTCTTCCTGATGTTTAGTATAAGTTATCATTTTGCTTCCATTTTCTTTAAAACTTCGTTTTTACTTACATGTCAGGTATATTGTATTCTCAGCATCTATCTGTAGAACCATATTTTTATTGCTTCAAGTCTCTTCTTCATCTTCGAGGATATTGTCCAGTATTCATTACCATATAGTAGGACTGATATCACGTAATAGTTCAGTATTCTTTTCTATGTTTCTAACGAAATCTTTTCTGTTTCTTAATACTCTGTTTAGCTTTTAGAAGGCTTCATAAAGGGATTATAAACTTTGATTTCATATTACCGACCAACAAAATAGTTTATAAATAAATAACCTAAAGAAAAATCACTTCAGGCCTGCGGGAATTTTTTACAATACTCCCATTGACAGGAGCTAGAGGGGTGGGGTGTTCCTCACCAAGCAGTAATTATTTTTTGGTCTTTGTGTGGCGGGGGTGGGAGGTGAGCATTTAGGTGGACTAGTACGATCACCGAAGTTAAGCAACATTGAGCCTGGCTAGTACCTAGATGGGTGACCGCTTGGGAATGCTAGGTGCTATAAGCTTGGATGTGCGGAGCGGGTGGTGTAATGGATAATGGGTGGGAATGGTTAATCAGAGATCCGAGTTCAAATTCCTGTTGGTTCCGTTATATTCACTTACATGCAAATAACCTTGGGAAACGTATGAATCCACCTTTACTCCCCAGTTATGGGTTAATTACTGTCAATAAACCATTATCGCCAAAACATATTCTTACAATCTAAAAATATTTTTTGGCTTTGAATAACCTGCAAAGATAATCTAAAGATAATCTATCAATCAATTTTTCTTTAATTCCATTTTTATTATATCATTTTTATTATAGTATTTTTACCTAAATTCACTTTATTATTAAGTCATATATTGGATATTTACTTTGATTGGTCATTGTACCGTAGTGGATTGTTTCCACGGCTGTCTCCACGGCTGTCTTCAGGCCAATATCTCAAAATCACACTCTTTCTGTTTCTAACTGAAAGTCAAATCAGCCCTCTTTTCACCAGGGCAAAGGTTTTCTTGTAGTAATAAATAGTACAATGCATATGTATTGGCTAATTTTATTGGTCCCAGTAAGGAAATTTTGCCGACTACTTATCAGTGACTTATCAGGAGATGGACATATATAAATAACCTACGCGGCGAGGAGTTTCACTGAAGAATTTTGGAGAGAGAAACTTCGTTTTGTTATTTTTTATTTTTTTGTTTTTATTAAGAAATCACGTCTTTTCGTTAGTTGCTGATTCGTTAATTCAGGGACCAATGCAAAAGTTCACTCACATTCCGCTATATCGTATTTCAGAAATACGATACATTTCTAACAACCTGGGACGCTGCCTTTTTAGTTGAGGCTTTTTTTCTCTTTAATACTGAAAGTATTTTCTTCTATTTTACCCTCACGGGGTGCAATCATTGCGAATTTTCTTTGTTATTTTTCCAGTGTCCTTTTTGTTTCAAAAGAACGGTTTGTCTCATATTTACTTACCAATTATAGGCAATTACAAAACAAAGTCAAATGGGATAGTAATTTTCAATTGTCCTCGCTGCATTAAAAAACGAACAGGGGTCGAATACGAACCACTGGCTCTACCGGGAAATACGCTAATAATTCTTCAATCCAGGCTTCAACATTTTCTTTTAATAAGATGTGTCTGTATACATGACGCTATATTGTTCAGTTTTCTCGTTTTTTTGCCTGGCGAAAAAGAAACTAAATACATTTTACTTCTTGGCCACAATCAGTGACAATGTTATAATTTGTCTAAAATCGTTCTTCTTTTTCTTCTATATGCCGTGTCACTTTAGGACGTGGCTGATCATGGCTCTCCACAATTTTCTATCCTTTGTAGCTCTTAGTAAATTTTACACTTTCGCTATCTCTCGTAATCCCAGTTCCGCTAAACATTTACTCACACTCCTTAGGTTTATTCATTGATTTCCTTTTTTCCTTACTGCCTTCGATATGTCCTATGAGTGTCAAATTTTATATGTCCTCTTATATGAACTATGAGTGTCAAATCTTATATATCTTCTTATAAGTCCCATGAGTGTCAAATTTTATATGTCCTCATATGTTCTATGAGAGTCAAATTTTATGTCCTATGAGTGTCAAATTTTATATTTCCTCTTATATGTCCTTTAAGTGTCAATTTTACATGTCCTCTTATATGTCCTATCAGCGAAATTTTATATGTCCTATGAGTGTCAATTTTTTTTGTTTTCTTATATATCCTATGAGTGTCAAATTTTATATTTCTTCTTATATGTCCTATGAGTGTCAAATTTTCTATGTCCTCTTATATGTCCCATAAATGTCAAATTTTCTATGTCCTCTTATATGTCCTATGAGTGTCAAATTTTATATGTCCTCTTATATGTCCTATAAATGTCAAATTTTCTATGTCCTCTTATATGTCCCATAAATGTCAAATTTTCTATGTCCTCTTATATGTCCTATGAGTGTCAAATTTTCTATGTCCTCTTATATGTCCCATAAATGTCAAATTTTCTATGTCCTCTTATATGTCCCATAAATGTCAAATTTTCTATGTCCTCTTATATGTCCTATGAGTGTCAAATTTTCTATGTCCTCTTATATGTCCCATAAATGTCAAATTTTCTATGTCCTCTTATTAATCCCATAAATGTCAAATTTTCTATGTCCTCTTATTAATCCCATAAATGTCAAATTTTATATGTCCTCTTATATGTCCCATAAATGTCAAATTTTCTATGTCCTCTTATATGTCCCATAAATGTCAAATTTTATATGTCCTCTTATATGTCCTATGAGTGTCAAATTTTCTATGTCCTCTTATATGTCCCATAAATGTCAAATTTTCGATGTCCTCTTATATGTCCCATAAATGTCAAATTTTCTATGTCCTCTTATATGTCCCATAAATGTCAAATTTTCTATGTCCTCTTATATGTCCCATAAATGTCAAATTTTATATGTCCTCTTATATGTCCTATGAGTGTCAAATTTCATATGCTCTCTTTCCTCATTATATTCCCTAGAAATTTCAATTGTCGATTTCTGATTCGAAGTATAAGTGTCCATTTTGTTTCCGTTTTCTCTAAAAACTTCCTATTGGCTCATATGTTCTCTCCGTGATATTCTCAACATCCTCCTGCAGAACTACATTTCTGTTATCTCAAGTCTCTTCATCTGTGAGGAGATATTCCAGCATTCACAGAGGGACCAATATTAAATAACAGTTCATTACTCTTTTCTTTATTTCTAACGTAATGTTCTTGTTTCTTAAAATCGTTACCGCCATCAATTTTCAAATTTAATTTTAATTTGGCAATCGCAAAGTTTGACGATCTTCAGCTTGCCTCCTAAAATCAAAGGTCATGAATCTGGGGATTTGATACGCATCTCGCAGCCCACGATTAAACTGATTTGTATGGAAAATTGTATTTTTAATAAACGAAATAATTTATAATCTGCGAACGCTAAAATAGTTTTAAGTTTGTTTTATTTCAATGCATACTCACAAAATATCCTTTTGCACAAAATCTTTACAACGTGATCCTAATTTTTAATAATATCGTTATATCTATGTAAGTGCTTGACCGCTGGCCGACAGCCAGTAGCCAGTCGACTACCTATTCAAAGCGGAACCCCGAAATTACTAATATTATTCGAACTTAAGCTTCGTAAATTTCACTGGCTATTAGCGGCGAGATCTCGCCTTTGAAATAGTTGGATGTAACCGTAAGTTCTATGTTAGCAGTTTCTTCTATTGCATCTCTTGCATATGGAACTCTCTTTCGGCTTCTTGCTTTCCAGTCAAGTTTGATCTTCAAAAATTTAAATGTAATGTCAATCGTTATCTTCTTAACTTTTAATTTCTGTTCTTTCATTGTTCTCGTTCCTTAATAATGTTTTGCTTATATTCTTTCACACTCAGTAAACTCCTGCGTGTTAGTGATTTTGTTGCCTTGCTTGGGTCGAAATGTTAAAAAAACAATTCATAAAGCAAATATGTATCAGTATACAACAAGATAGGCTTATGTTGATATTGTGAGATGTTAAAAGATTTTTTTTACTGGTAGAGGAGGAGAAGAGAAAACGACATGTCTCTTACACCGAATACTGTATGTTGAGATGTTGGGAGTGTTTCCGCGTGCGTGTGTTGAAATAAGGACAAACACATACGTAGGAAAAAATACTGGTATATTTGAAGAGGTATTTACAACAGAGAGATTAGTAGTAAAACGAACGCAGGTTAGTAGTAACAATCAGCAAGAGTCTAAAGTCCAACGGTATCTTCCGGTAGAGAGACGGAAGTGTAATGGTCACCTGACCTCTTAGATCTCTTCAGAACTCTCTAGCACTGTCCTATATCGTAGAGAGATCAGTCCATTCTCATGAGAAGATGGGTGGCCCCAACACTGTATAAGGTGCATCCGTAAACAAACAAGACTCCATATTAAATGTGAAAGGTGAAAGAAACAAACATTTATTACAATGACATAAAAGCAAACAAATAATAGAACCGAATACAAGTTTTACAAATAATTACTTTGTGCGTATTATTATTATTAAGGCAAGATAACCACTGCAAAAAAATTAAAATACTAGGCTCATTGAAGCTGATACATTTTCCAACAATATTTTCATTTACTTTCAATAGTCGAAAATCTTTTGAGAAGGTTGGCAAATTGACACGCGTTGCTGGGAATTTTAAGAATAGTTCAGTTTTTAGAATGAACTACAATATTGAGATAAATCTCCTTTACTTTTTTTTTTTTATAAAGATCAAAATTAGGGTTGATGCCGCTAATTTTAATAATCTTTTATTCATTATTTCTTTCAGCTTCTTTATATTTCAGTTTTTTAATCTGTTTCTTTCTCTTTATCGTCGCTGGCGGCGTCGTTGTTGGAGTCATCGTCGTCGTTGTTATTATCTGGAACGGCCTTCGGTTATTGGCATGTGGACGCCAAAACCCTTCTGAGTTACGACATCTTAAATTATATTAAACAGGCTGCAAATTCAATTGCAGTATGGCATTTGCATTGGCAGAAATTACCTTCCTCATTGGTCACAAAACACTAAAATTTAAAAAAAAAACACGCCTGTAATTCGACGTTTTTTTCAGACCATGAGACGAGCCTATTTTTTAACGAATTTGAAAATTAAACTTTACATAAGGACCTTTATCAGAAACCGAAATGCTTCATTTAGGCGACATTTTAAATAGGATCTGAGACTCTTTTTATAAATTTGAAAACCAAATTTTACACGAGTAGCTTTATCATAAGACAAAATGCTTTATTTAGGCAGCATTTTATATAAGATCTTAGCCTCCTTTTTACAAATTTGAAAAATAGATTTTACACAAGTCCGACAGTGAGGTCTCCGTAGTTTAATCAAAGAAAGAAAGAAAGAAAGAAAGAAAGAATGGGAAAGAGTTTACTAACTGGATGGTAATCGTTGAAATGAGCAGGAAGATGGATTGAAAAGTTAGGAAAAAAAAATTGAAAACGAAATGAATTGAAAAATCATGTTTT